CGTCGGCGGCGGCGGCCCGCGCGCGATAGCGGCGACGGACTGCGCCCGACGGACCTCGCGGCGGGGGAGAACCGCGGCGCGTTAGCTTACCGCGTTCGGAGGACCCGCGCCTGGTGGCCATTGACTCCGCGGCGACCACCACTATTCTTCCCGCGCAAATTTCCCGCGATGTTAGCACCCTGCGAATCCATTTTCTTCCCCGTTATCCCCTGCGGCGTTATTATCCCTCTCCCGTGACGTCATATCCCTCGACTTCATCCCCTCCCCTCCCGTGACGTCATACCCCTCTCACCCTGTGACGTCATCCCCTGGCATCACCACAGAGTTCCTAAACGTATTATAATTTATACTCCTCGCGTTCTTAAACACATTATAATTTATGTTGGTAAACCTGGTTCATAAATCAAGTACTTACGGAAAAAAGAACAAACTTGAGTTAGAACCGGTCTATATACTCTACTTGAATTTAAAACTAATAAGAGAACAGGGCTACGAGCCATAGATTCGTTAAAATCTTTAATTTTTTTAAATTCTAATATATTGCGAAGATTATCATGTAATGTTGGCGTTTCGTCCCGGCTTCCACTACTGGACTCATCAGTAAGGTATTGTAATGGAAGCCTATCTTAGACGCCAGTGTAAGTTATTAAATCGAAATTCTATATAAAGAGATCCTCGCAAATTAAAAAACCCAACAAATTTAAACCTTTGAAAACTAACCGCAAAAATTTGATCCTTCCTAAATTAAAACGATTACCTAACCACAAAATAGAAAACCCAATAAATTACAACCTTTGAAAATTAACCTTCCTAAATTAAAATGATTATTCAATAATGTAACATAATAATTTAAACCTTTAATACTTTAAATGATATTATCTAATATAATATATGACCACGAAAAGTAACTGATATATTACTAAATGTGCCAGTTCAAAGTGAACATACGTTAAGTTATTTTCTATGTTGAATATGTACCACAAAAAGTAAATGATAGATTATTCAAGATGCAAATTCAAAATGAACATACCTATATATAAGTAAAACAGTTTACAATAAAAATATTACAGTGTTCTAGAAAATAACTGCAACATACATAAAATATATTTTCTATGTTGAATATGTACCACGGAAAGTAACTAATAGATCATTCAAGGTGCAAATTCAAAATGAACATACATACATATAAGTAAAACAGATTACAATTTGCATATTACAGTTTTCTAAAAAATTTCCGCAATATGTTATCAGCCAAAAGTTGCATTTTCCTTCTCACCGCTCCGCGTG